ATGAGCTCGACCTTAAAAAATGTTCATCTTTGGAGGTCAAATTACACCATTCTACACTATTGGACGAGAGAAACATGATGCTAGCCGAGCTGATTGTTTTTAATGCCTATGTACCCACAACAATGACAACAATGCACCGCTGGACTACGCTTCGCTTGCATTCCAGGACCGTAGTGACGTCACAGGAAGGGACGCGGGCGGACCGCTGATGACCCGCCCGCTGTCAAAGGGCGGGCTGGGTTTGACGGGCGCACAATAGCGGCCGCGCGCGTGTTCCTGAAAGCGATAGCGAAGGCACGGGCGCCAGAAGGGTTGGACGCTTTGACCCTCTCCCAGACCTCCCGCTGTTACTGCCAAGGTTACTGCTACTGAGAAGGAAAATAAGTGACGGTGGTATTCACACAGGCTTTTCACTAATTTCTGACGTTTCGCACGTGTCGTCAACAATTCTCGTCCCCTAGAGATACTTGCACGATGCTTGCACGAACACTAAGGTAACCGGCCTGTTAGCTTGAAACGCCGCCAAAAACATAGGTTGCTCCATGGTATAATCTCTTCCATGCATGTGACTGGTCTGGAGCCTTTTCGCATTAGATCAATGCGCGTTTTTATCGATATAGGATCTCCATCGATCTTAGAATTTGGCGAATTTGCGATCTGAATGATGGGGTGGAGCAAGATTAGAATGGGTCTGAGCCAGGACAGTATATAGAATCGGAGTTGAACCCAGAGTCACCAAAATCTTACTAACTCCGACTCCGGAGCAGAATCGACATCGCTAACTGAATGGCTCAAAGTTATACCCGAAGCGGAAGCCAGTCTGCCGAAAAATAGCCGTTTTCACGACGGGCTTTCTGGCGAGTGGACTTATATGGCAGTGTTCGCCATGGGCCGGGCCAGCCAATGGGTCATGGGCTGGGCTGGGCCCTCAATATAAATAATCGATGGGCTGTGGTGAGTGTGGATGGGCTGGGACAAGGACTGTAAAGTGGACTCAGAGGTTCGCGACTGAGCTAAAAAACAAAAACTAGCTTATTACTGTGCAAGACTAAAAAATGAATGAAAGCATATATGTGCAATGTGCATTGTGCATGCTGCTCCCAAAAGATTGTTTCTTTGCGCCTATGGGTGACATATATGTAATACCTGTTTGGTGTCCATGATCCATTCATTGTTGACGGGCTGGTCCGGGCTGGACGGACTATGTAGACCGCCTAGTCAAATTATAGGTTGGTGGTAGTTTCGTATAGGCTTGTAAGGTCTGTAGTGTGTACCTGTCTAATATCTATGCTCACGCAGTGTGGCGCATAGAAGCGCTAAAAGGAAGACCAACTTCGTTGATTGTTCTGAGTTACGCCGGCCCCCGCCTGTTTTTATAGTGGTCTGAACTGTCAAAATGATGCCCCATAGGTCACCCCTGTGTCCCATAGGTCACCCCTGTGTCGCCCGCTCTTAGGTTCGTGAGCGGATGAAAATATGTTGGCATTTGAAAATATGTTTGACTTGTCCGAGCTTTTCGAAACTGAGTGGTGGGTAGATATACGATTTCTGCATAGCCCCTTTTTTGTACGGACAAAAAATAGTTTGTGGTCTTGATCAAGCAGTAAGCTTCCGATGGGGATAGCGAAGACAGTAGGACGTAGGTATAGGTACCTATGCCGGGGTAACCGTCGAATGTCCATTCCCTCGGCTCCAATTCAGTGGGCCGATGATTCCACCTCAGATCTTTAACCCATGAAACAGTCGTTCCCCAGCGAAATTATATTGCATTGTTTCTTCATAAGCCAAATATACAGGTCACGAGAGCTTTACTCGTTGCTTTGGTAGGTACATTGTGCATTTATTACGAACTGGAGGAGAAACGAAGATGTCATGTCTGACAAAGCCTGGTTCGGATAGGGTTGTGATATAAAGCTGTGCGTGATTCCCCCTGCTCCGGACGATGGGTCTCGGGCTCGTCTTCTCCCTGCGCCGTCCTTCCCCCGGTATTCGAAGCCGTGTGACGTTCAGAAGCATCTGGAGTACCAGTGTTTGGTTTGGGTGACCAGTCCGCAGCGGTGCTTGTATTTGGGACACCTGATCTTCCAGTGTGTGTAGGGCTTACAGACGGGCAGGCACATGTATCCCCATTTGGTGGGACAGCACTTCCAGCCCGGCCGGGAGCAGTAGCACTTGCTGGCGCTGGCCGATGTCTTGTAGGTCCGTAGGTAAATTATGTGGTGACGGGGGCACTGCCACGCGCTCGCCGATTCTGCAATTGAGTATTTGCACTAAATTAGTGCTCATATTCACCGAAGTAAACGCACACAGAAACAGAGCTGCACACATTGCTGAGAACATGATTTCTGTTGTTATCACCAGAACTATAATTATACATCACACAAATGAAATTTTACCGACAAAACGACGCTACATACATGAATTATTTGTTTACGCAGTCATCTTTTACAGCGTACCTACAACAACTAACTGCCCATGAAATAACCACACTATATTATAGGTATATACTCACGCAGCGTGGCACATAGAAGTGCCAGCACCGGTAGAAGGAAGACCAACTTCATGGTTGTTTGTTCTGAGCCTCGTCGGCCCCCAGCCTGTTTTTATAGCGGCCTGAACTGTCAAAATGGTGCCCCATAGGTCACCCCTGTGTCGTCCGCTCCTAGAATCGTAAACGCTGAAAAATATGTTGACATTTTAAAATGTGTTTGGCTTGTCCGATTTAAATTTTTGGTAAAACAGGATGGAGAGTTTCCTGTTTTACTGCGCGCTGTCCTTTCAGAAGTGAATCGTCGCTTGGACGGACATTTGCACTTTCAAAATAAGATTCGCTGTGCCCTCGACCAGAGACCAGAAGTTACGGGCCCTTCAGCAAAAAGTGGCTGGTTAGCCGATGTGTTTTTAGCCCACGCCGTCCTGGTGGTCTAAGTTTTTCCGTGGTGTACGAGGGGGGGGATGGCGTCTTCACGCCCCCCGTCTAACTCGGCTCCTGAGGCATTCCATAGAGTAGAATGCCTGAATATTAGGCATTCCACAGACTGCCTACTCAGTCCATAGAATGCCTGGACGACCAGGCATTCTACAGAACGCTTAGGCATTCAAAATGCCTGGTCGTTTAGAGGGATAGCTGGTCGTCCAGGCATTTAAGAGAATGTCTAGGGATTCTATAGAATGTCGAAATTCTACACATTGGCTTGGGGCTATGACATGGAAAGTCTGTGGATGAACTATGCGGCGGTATACATACCCCAAGTCGCGCTGTGCCCAAGTGGCACCGACTCCGGGAACCGCCTGTGGTGTATCGCCGCCTGACGCAGCGGTTTGGCCACGAGAAGAAACAGTCGCGTGCTGACGTCACCGGGGCTCCGGGACCAGTCAAAACAACTGAGAGAGATACTCGGCACGTGCCGGACGGTACGGCGGCAGCTCATACGGCCTCCAGTGGCGCTAGAGTGGAAAATCCACACCGCCAAAGTATACAAGGCAAAACTCGCCGAAACGGATGCTCAGACAACGTACTTACGTCTCACATAGGTGTTTGCAAAATGTGCAAAGGAGTGTGCTCACTGCACTCTCCTAGTAGACCCAAAATGTACGTGCTATGATCCGTAAAAGGCAACTGTGCTTTGATGTGAAATGTGAAGGTCTATATGACATGGGATTTTTAATAGTTTGTGGCTATGGCTTTCTACGGACGGATGTTGTTTCAGCTGCTATTGAGCAAGAGCCGTCCACCCTGTGCAGTGTGCAGTGTGCGCACTGCGCAATTACCCTCAGCCTTTCCTCCCCTCCCCAGAGAGGCTGCAGCGGCAGCGGAAAGGTCGCCGAGCCCACGCCCACCTGGCTGTTACGAAACCCTTGGCAGTCCTCTGGGGTCGCTGCCATCACTGTCACGAGCCATCCATGGGTTTGTCACGGACGTTGACACCCCTGGCCGGAGGAGGGTGGGGGCTCTGAATCATTATCATGACCTATGACTCGGCGGCCAGCGCCGACCACCAAGGGAGGGGGGGGGGAGTGAGGGGACTGGGCTGACCGTGCTTCTATGTAAACAGAAAAAAACGGACGACGCAGATACGTGACATTCGTACTCTACATGTATGTACGGTCTCAGGCGTCCTACCTCATCGGGCGGCGTGCCCTTCCGTCTCGCTGGGAGTCCCAGTGGCTGTTCATATCCTACTTAAGAATTAAGGAATCCCTCTGCAGGCTGCTTCCATCCTCGCCAGTTTTCTTCCATTAGGCAGTCGGTGTGATGTTGGTGATGCTGCTCTGCGAGTGTTAAGAGTCCATGCCCCACACGACTACGTTCGCCAATCGCTACCATTGGTGGACCAGCCATTTGCTCAGAGGCTGATGTGATTCCGACGGTGATGAATGTATGCCATTGACCTTTATAGAGGTCACCGGAGGCTGACGTTCACAGTTGAACCATTCGACAGATCGGAGTGAGCGACGTTTCAGGAAATCTACCCGACAGTGCGAAAACATCTCGTGCCGTCATCCAATATTCCATGAATTTACTCCATGACGTCATTAACTTACCGCCGGTGGCTCCGCAATCGGCCAATCTGGCACAAGATCCGGCAGTGATAGAATAGTTTGATGACAGCTCGGATGACTGTGTCTTTGAATGGGTACCGCAAAATGCAATGCATTTTGATCCGCAAGTGCAACTGAAACTTCTTCGGTGCCCCAGCCGTTTCCGCTGAAGCTTCTGAAGATGGCGATGCTGCTGCCACTGCAGCAGTGTAGCTAGTGGCCAATGATATTTGGCAGCTAATGAGCTGCGTACGCGCCAGCCCGTGCCGTCCCGTCCCTGGCTCCTGCCACCGTCCGTCTCGCCCGCTGTGTTTATATTTCCGCGGCTATATAGAGGGCCGTGGCCGCCGGGGCACACACCAGTCGGTTCGCCGACCTCCAGCGGCGCTCGGTGGCAGCAGTGTGTGTGACTGGACTGCACTGGACTGGACTGACCCTCCCCGGCCCCTCGGAGAGCGATGCGCGCGCTGGTGGCCTGTCTGGCGGTGGCGGCGGCGCTGACGGCGCCGGTCGCCGCGGACAGGTTCCGCACGGTGCTGGTCGGCGGCCAGCCCGACTGGGCCGCGGCCGGCGGCGACCAGGGCTGTGACATCTGCGGCAGCGGCGGGGGTCACTCGGGCGGCGGCGGCGGCTACCGCACCTCCTCCCACAGCAGTCGCTACACGAGTTCCGGCCAGCTGGCGCCGCGCTACCGGCCCGGCCTGCTCGGCCGCAGCGGCGGCGGCCAGCGGCGCACCTACCACTTCTCCAGCGAGGAGTCCGAGTACACGTTCAGCAACGGCACGCACAGCACCACCATCACCAGCAAGCGCTCCAGCGAGGGCGTGCCCCAGTTCCACCTGCGCATGACGCGGCTGGCCGACGGCGCCGTCATCGAGAGCGCCGTGCTCTCGGAGGCCGAGTACCGCCAGCGGCGCGCCAGCCTCGGCCTCACCGGCTCCGACGGCAGCTTCGGGTTCGAGTCGCTGGGCGGCGGAGAGCTGCACGGCCTGAGCTCGCGCCGTCTCTCGGGCGAGGACCTACTGACGGAGATGGAACGGCGGCTGGCGCACCGGCGCGGCGGCCACGGCCGGCACTCGACCACCAGCTTCTCCAGCGAGGAGTCGCACTACTCGTTCAGCAACGGCACGCACACCACCAGCATCACGGGCCGCCGGAACAGCGAGGGCGTGCGCGAGTACGGCCTGGAGCTGATCCGGGACGCGGACGGCACCGTGCTCGACCGCGCCACCATCTCGGAGGCCGAGTACCACCGGCGCCGACAGAGCATGGTCGGCGGGGCGCGGCTTCGACGACGTGTTCGACATCCACGGCGTGCGCGGCTCCGGCGCCAGATTCGACTCGCGCTTCGACTCGCGGTCCGACTCGCGGTCTGACTCGCGCTTCGACTCGCGGTCCGACTCGCGGTCGCGGTCCCACTCGGAGTTCGGCTCGGACTCTGCTGAGTCGGAGTACGGCTCGCGGTCGGGCGGCCGGCGGCCGACACACGGCGGGTCCTCCGGGTCCCGCTCCACATCATATTTCCGCGAGGAGCGCACCGAGACGCGCCGCGAGGAGGGCGCCGAGAGCTGCGCCTGCGTGCCCCGCTCGCGATGTCTGTACTCGGACCGGGTGGTCTCGGCGGCCGCGCTGAGCCGCTGCCGGGCCGACGAGGTGTGCTGCCGCGAGCAGCGGCCACTGCTGCCACGGGTGACCACCGACTACCCGCGGCCGGCGCCCACCGAGCCGAGCCGAGTGCGCCGGCCGCAGGCCGAGCCCCAGGTGCGCGAGGAGCCCGCCTGCAACTGCGTGCCGCGCGACACCTGCTCCTACCGCGAGCGCGACTTTTCGCTGGCCGGCCTGCAGAAGTGCCGCCGCCCGATGGTCTGCTGTAAGCGGCAGCTGGTGTCCCAGCCGTACCAGCCGGCCACGGAGCCGGCTCCGCTGCTGCCGACGCCGGCCCCCGTCTCCCGGCACACCACCCCCGACCCGGCCTTCGTGCAGCGCGAGCGCGACCTGTTCCGGGACATTGTGCAGCACGTGGACACGGACGAGCGGGCGCCCGTGCAGCGGCCGGTCGACCTCCGCGGCCTGCAGAGCTCGCTCTCGCGGTACGATGACGCCAGGGACGTCTCCGGCGGCCACCGGCGCTCCGAGGTGAGCCGCACCGAGCACTCGCGCACTGAGACCTCGGGCGCCGCGCCGCTGCCGGCCGTCACCGGCGGCCAGACGAGCAGCACGCGCCACTACAGCTACCGCAGCCGCAGCTCCTCCGGCGAGCAGCTGCCCGAGCCGGCGGACCCGCGCCGGCCGCTCTACCCTGCCGACGGCAGCGCCGGCCACAGCCGCCGCACCCACTCGTACGAGAGGACCAGCTCGGGGTACGGCGGCGCCGGCGCCGACCTGCTGTCCGGCGCCCACGGCTCCGGGTACACGGACAAGGAGGACTCTGCCGAGCAGAGCGGCTCGCGGGTCATCTCCAGCCGCCGACACTACTCAGAGCGGCGCGTCGTCTCCGGAGAGGACAGCGGCGAGCAGGCCACCACGGGCGGCTACCCGCGCTACCCGGACCGGCCGGTCGACCTGCCGGGCCCGCAGCTGGACTCCTCCAGCAGCTCGCGCCACTACTCCTACCGCAGCTCGTCCAGCTCGACCTCGTCCGGCGAGCAGGGCGACGCAGCGCTGCTGGCCGGCGGCGCCGGTCTGCGCGGCCAGCACGGCGCCCGGCCGGAGCTGACCAGCTCCTCCCGGCGCTACTCGGCCCAGCACTCCACCTCGGGCGGCGGCGGCGGCGGCGGCGGCGCGGGCCTGCTGGCCGGCGGAGACGCGGGCCTCTCCGGCGGCGAGTCGGTCACCTCGTCCCGCCACTACTCCGAGCGGCGCGTGGTGTCCGGGGACGCCGACGGCGAACTGGGCCTGTCCGGCGGCGACCTGGGCCTGTCCGGCGGCGACCTGGGCCTGGCGGGCGGCGACCTGGGTCTGTCCGGCGGCTCCTCGGGCGGCTACTCGAGCGGCTCGAGCTACCGGTCCTCGTCCTCCTGGTCCTCCCGCTCTGAGAGCGGCTCCTCGGGAGGACTGGTGCCGGCCGGCGGCGGCTCCCACCAGTACCCAGCCGGCTCCGCGGGCGGCAGCGGCTCCAGCTACCGCTACTCGTCCAGCTCTCACTCCTCGCAGGCGGTGAGTACGAGGCGCCCGAGTCACTGACTCAGCACTCTAAGAAGTATGGCTGGCATTTTGCCATCATGCTCCACAGATATGTTCTTTTGTGTGCTGCTCCCGTACTCCGTAGCAAATACCACTGAGTGATCATCGTTGCTCGTTGGTATGGCACATGAAGCCGCCACTTTGCCAGAGCTTCTTGTATATTCTGACGTCTTCCAGGCCGTCAATCCACCCCCTTACGGTTATCTGTCCGGTCAGGCGCCGCTGGAGTCGGGCTCTAGCTACTGGCGCAGCTACTCGCAGCAGTCGCAGCGTCACCGGCGCGGCTGGACCGACCTGTTCACCGGCCGAGACGAGACGCCGCGCGCCGCCGCCCAGGCCGGCGACAGCTGCGTCTGCGTGCGCTTCGACCGCTGCTCGGACGGCAACCTGCTGCACCACGGCGCCGACCTGCTCGACTTCAGGTGGGGAAAACCTGACCTGTCAGACTTCAGGTGGGTGAAACCTGACCTTCAACACTTCACTGGGTCTCCCTACATCAGCCCGAACAGCATTTACTAATCCGGGCATCCAGACATATAGACCTGCGAGTAGTAGCAGAGATAAGTTCGTAAGAGTAGTAGCAGCAAGTGTTCCTCTACCGTCATCGTTCAGAGTCAAAGTATATTTCGTGTCGTAACTATCCGTGATTATATATGTGTCTCTACTCTCCACTGATTCCTCCCCTCCCGTGTCCATCCTGCAGTATCGGCTCGTTCTGTGTTCTGGGTCCGCACTGACTGTGTTCCGGGTCTGTACTGACTCTGTGTTCCGGGTCTGTACTGACTGTGTCCCGGGTCTGTACTGACGCTGTGTCCGTCCGGCAGTATCGGCTCCCGGAAGCAGTGCTCCGGGTTCCGGGTGTGCTGTGACACGCCGCCGGAGGTGCTCCGTCAGCTGGAGTCCACTCCGGGCCTCCGGCCGGGCGTGGTCACCTCTGTGCCGACCGCCGAACTGGATCTGGCCGGCCGCTCCTCGCCGCTGGCGCCGCACGTCGCCAGCTCCCGGCCCTGCGTGTGCGTCTCCTCGTACCTGTGCCAGGGCGGCCAGATCGGCGCCTCGCAGCAGCTGCTCGTCGACATGCGCCAGGTGTCGCAGACGGGACGCTGCAGCTACGACGGACAGGTGAGGTGACTGGTGACGGGTGAGCTCAGAGGTGACGGGTGAGAGGTGACAGATGGGGTGACAGATGACAGGCGACTTGAGTTTCCGCGGTGAGAAGTGGTTTATAGTAAAGGTGACGTGATAGGTGACAAATGGTTTGAGGTGAAAGGTGAAGTGATATCCAAGCGAGACAATTTTTGTCATATAACTAATGGGCGCTCTGGTAGTTCACCGCCGGTGCTTATCGCAAATTACCGTATACATACGCTCCCTCGCTGTGACCGTTGGACATTTGACGGTCTCTCCTCTGCTGTGCTGTTTTAAGGTGTGTTGCGCGGTGCCATCACACTGTGCTGTCCATTTTCAGGTGTGCTGCGCGGTACCATCACACTGTGCCGTGCTGTTTTCAGGTGTGCTGCGCGGTGCCATCACACTGTGCTGTCCGTTTTCAGGTGTGCTGCGCGGTGCCGTGGGCCCAGGTGCAGCCGACGGCCCCGCCGGCGCCATGCAGCTGTGTGCCCGGAAACCAGTGCCGCCAGCAGGACATCCTCACCCGCTACACCAACGTCAACGCGCCCACCTGTCCCGGCACTCAGGTCAGTGTGGACAGGGCCAGAATCGGGTCCTGTGTGATATACCTGTACCCGCTGAGTACAGGGGAATGGGGTGTCGGTTATAAAGGGGTGTGGGTCAATAAAGAGGGAGGGACTGGTCCATGAAAGGAAGGTCAGTAAATAGGGCTGGGTCATTAAATGGGTCAATAAAAGGGAGCAGGTCAGTGAAAGGTGACAGGTCAATAAGGGGGTGGGCGGGTCAGTAAAAGGGGGACGGGTAAATAAAAGGGGACGAGTCAAGAGGGTCAGTCTTTAAAGAGGTCACCGATCCTCGGAACACTGACTCAGCCCGCTCCGTTCGGGCCGCCACTCTGACCCCCCCCCCCCCCCCCCTCTGCAGGTGTGTTGCTCCCGTCCGCAGTCGGGCGGCCCGGCGGTCCGTCCGCCCGCCAGCAGCCTGGACCGTATCGAGTACGACATGTACCGGTTCTGCAAGTCGTACCCGCTGAGCGTCGCCTGCTCCAGCACTCACCAGGTGAGAAACGGGGTGACTCGAGGGGAGAGAAACTCACACTGTAACTCACTGAGTGAGGAACCCGCTGGTACGCAAACGGGGGTCGATGGCTCTCCAGAAAAAAAAAACAATTTTGTTGGTATATTCCATAGGAGATAGTAATGTATTGCTCCTTCCGAGAATGGTTCCTATTTCACTGCTGATAACCTAGCATTTTTTCCAATCCTTTTCAGTTCAACGTGCTGCCGGCTCTCCGTCCTACGCCGTACTTCGACGCTGAGCGAGACGCCAGAGCGCTGAAGTGAGTACGATCGTTTGTTTTTGTTCAGCTGAGAACAGCCGTTACATAATCTGGAAGATCCTATACGAGCAAATATCGTGTTCAATGTTGGGTCCGATTTATACGTAGGCTCCGTGTGACCTAGTCAGGGGCCGCTGAATAAGATTGTATGAAGTGGATGTTAGACGGCAGTGGAGGTTTGTACGTGTGCCGGTCCTGTCGGTACCAGGCCCCGCTCGACCGCCGCAGACGCCTGCCTCTCGTCACAGCCACCGTAAACACTGGCCGACGGAAAACTAGGAATGTTAGGACTGTTCTGATACGGGCACGGTCGGCCCCCGCTGGGAGCTGACCGAGGTGATATCACCGCCGACAATCAGCTGAGCAGAGTCGGGTCACTGCTGACTGTCAGCTGACTGCGATCTGACAGCGAGACAGTCGACTAATATGGTGACATTGCTAACAGTTGACCCGGACTGTGCCGTAGTAAGCTAACCCGTCATGTGTCGCTGTCATCTCGCCCCACCTCTGTTCCCAGCCTCTCAGTATAGCTGATCCCCCGTCTGACACTGAATATTATCTCCCACAGCGACGCGTTCGGCCTGTTCGGAGTCGACGACGACGTCCTGATCGGTATCCTCACCAAGAGGACATTCAAGGAGCGCGCCCTCATCAAGCAGGCCTTCGCGCGGCTCACGGGCTCGGTGAGTAATATATGGGACATGGGTGATATTGTGAGAACGCCCGTGCTGCTGCCATCACTGACAGCAGTACTGGAGTTTCTCACTCTCAACTCTCAGTATCCATTTGGTAGACGTTGAGGGACGCGATTTTAGGTCACCACTGTCAAACACTGGGCTGCTAAAAAGATGGTGAGGTTACCCGGTCCTGCTCCATTTGCTACTGGCGGCTGGGTGACCTAGTTCTGGTTATCAGCTACTGGAGGAGACTGATGGTTCGTCTCTGCTAAACTGCTGGTTCGTGGTATACACCCGGCTGCTCCAGGCTACTGCCGACTCTCGGTGCAGCCCTGGTTCTATTAAACTCGGTGCCTGGCCCGGGTGTCCGACATTTGTCCGGCCCTGAGCTGCTTCACTAAGGCCTGTCCGACATTTGTCCGGCCCTGAGCTGCTTCACTAAGGCCCCGATGTCGTCCAGCGCTGGCCTCGTCCCGTGGCCGTGTTTTCGTCCAGTGCCGCCGGTGGCCGGCTGTTCCAGATCCGCTGGCCCCGGTCCGGCGGCGGCCCCTGGCTGCGGCCGGCCGAGGTCGGCCGTGTGTTTACAGTGGGGAGACGGGTCCCAGGCGCCGGCGTCGGGCCGCGCGGTCACACGGTTCGTCGGAAGGGCATCTCAGGCTCAAAAGAAACGATATATACCATTCGAAAGCTGACGGTGAGCTGAATCCAAAAATGTAATTTTTATCAAAATCGATCGATGGCCTTTTTTGAAAATTGCGTTTTTGTAAAAACTTTATAATTTTTTATTCAACGGGCTGTCCCGGACATTCTTGAAAACATAAACATGTATTTTTTAGTTCCAGTAAAAGCTGAACGCCTAAAGAACAATATTTAGCGAAGCAATATTTCCAAACATTAATATGCGTCTCCCACAGCCGACAATAAGGCGCAATTACACAGCTCAGTGTCACGATGGACCAAAGTCAGCCACACAGAAGCGTGAAATGACCCTTATCGACTCGCAGACCCGGCGCTCTCGGCCCGCCTGACCGGCCACGGCAAGGAGGTTCGGCTGTCGTTCTACTAAACAGACGTCATATTTGTTAGTTTAACGATTCAAGTCGGTACTTGAGTTATTCAGGATACATGAGCAGAAGATTCATTGCTCTGTCATCTTCACACCACGCATTAATTTGCATTTGTTCACGTCTACTTTGCTCAATTGAGCTTGGTGGCATGCCCATATAAGGAAAATTGGCCGCGCTGAAATGTCAGAGGTTGTACCGACCTCAGCTCGGGTAGAGTGGGGGTAGCGCCCGGTGGGGCAGGGTAACCTTTGACCGGTCGCACGGCCGAGCAGCTGTCACCAGTACAGCCTCTGACGGTGAAACCCCGCTCACTTCCCCTGCGCGGGCACTGAGCGCAGCTGGATGGAACAAAACATGTATAAGAAAAATGTAAATTAAAGCATGTTGTAAATCAAGCAGAACAATGCATTTTCTTCACAGGTATCCTGAATAACTTTAATAGCAATGTAGACAGTTAAACTGACAAATATGACATTTGTTTAGTAGAACGAGAGGCGAACGTTCTTTCCGTGGCTGGTGGGCGGGCCGGGAGCGCCGGGTCTGCGAGTCGATAAGGGTCATTTCACGGTTCTGTGTGGCTGACTTTGGTCCATCGTGACATTGAGATGTGTAATTGCGCCTTATTGTCGGCTGTGGGAGACGCATATTAATGGTTGGAAATATTGCTTCGCTAAATATTGTTCTTTAGGCGTTCAGCTTTTACTGGAACTCAAAAATACATGTTTATGTTTTCAAGAATGTCCGGGACAGCCCGTTGAATAAAAAATTATAAAGTTTTTACAAAAACGCAATTTTCAAAAAAGGCCATCGATCGATTTTGATAAAAATTACATTTTTGGATTCAGCTCACCGTCAGCTTTCGAATGGTATATATCGTTTCTTTTGAGCCTGAGATGACCTTCCGACGAACCGTGGTCACAGAGCCGCCAGTGGCCGGGGCGGGGGACGGAGCAGCGTAGACCGTCTCAGCTGCGGCACATATAGCTCAGTCCGCCGGCATACAGAGACTGCCCATGTCAACGGGGTAATGGTGCAGAATATGCTGTAGGATATGGGGATTAATAATATGCTTATGAAAGGGTGCATAATTTCGCTAAACTAGGGAGACGAAATTAAATCGCAAGAACGAACGGTCGATGATAGCATAGCCTCGCAGCTGGTGCGCCCTGTCACTCCAAATCATCATCATTGACTCCGAACAAAAGCGATGATATGGACTGATCGCCAGCCCGTCTTCTGATGCCATCAACTCTAGACCGCGTCAACCTACTGACACCAATTGATGATGTTTGATCTGTGTCTCACACATCTGACGTGTTGTGCCGCAGAACCTGGCGGACAAGATCGAGAGGTACTCGACGGGCAACTACGAGGACCTGATGGTGGAGCTGCTGGACGGCGCCTCCATGGAGGAGTACCTGGCCAAGCGGCTGCACGAGGGTATGGACCGGCTGGGCACCGACGAAGACGTGGTGCTCGAGACACTCATCAGCAGCACCAACCAGGAGATCGCCGCCATCAAACCCTACTTCTACGCAGGTCGGTGGACCAGAGATAAAACCCCAATTCTATGCAAGTCGGTGGCGAGGCGGTCAGGGAATCGTTCGCTGTCTCTGACGCTAGGTGCCGTCTGGTCCACCATCACATGCAATATTGGTTAGCTCATGCGTATCCTGGGACTTACAGACGCGTCTGTACAGACGCGTTACAGTGGGACTTACAGACGCCTAGACGTCTGTAATCTGCTGACTCAAACACATTGACGAATGCCGCTGATATTTGTTGGACACTATTCCTTTTCATTGCAAAAAGCGTCCACCCTGACCTTCTTCCGGCCTTAGGTCCGCTCGTTTCGCATTGACATATTCCTTAGTTCTAAAATTATTTCCTTCGTTGACTCTCCGTCCTATCCGATGGCCTCCACTATTTATGTGTTTCTAAGCCTTCTAACACCGTCCGGCTCCCGCAGAGTCCGGCCACACGCTGGAGGCCGACATTGCCGACGACTTCTCCGGAGACTTGGAGGACATTCTGGTGGCTCTGGCCAACGGCACGCGCGACAGCAGCTTCACCGTGGACCGACGGCGGGCCCGCGAGCAGGCGGCCGCCCTGCGCAGCGCAGGTACGGGGACGGGGGTCTCAACAGGCCGGGGTGATTACTACGGCCTTCGAATATAATGGAAACCGGAAGGCCAAGGGATGCCGTGATCCCTACTAACATTATCTTCATATAAGTTGACGTACTTGAAGTTCTTCATCAGTTCCGCGATGAGTGGAAACTTCTTCAAAACGATAAGAGAACAACGTGAAAGAGCGAGGCGGCGTGAAATTTGAAAGCTTTCTAATAGATATGGGATAGTAAGAAGATCGCTCTGGTATTGCAGCCTTGGATCTGTATTCCGCTGCCGTTTCGGTAGTTTCTGACCGATTTCCATGGCCCTGTTCGGCCAGGTGAAGGGCTGGGCACCAGTGAGGAGACGTTCAAGTACTATCTAACCCACGAGAACTACGCCCAGCTGGCGCTCATTTTCTCCGAGTACGAGCAGCTCGCCGGCGAGACGTTCGAGGACGCTCTGGAGGACGAGTTCAGCCGGCATACCGAGGACGCCGTACTGGCCATCGGTGAGGACGGGAGGACTGGGGACACAGGGGAGGGGAGGGGAGGACAGAGAGGAGGGGAGGGGACGCTCTGGAGGACGAGTTCAGCCGGCATACCGAGGACGCCGTCCTGGCCATCGGTGAGGACGGGAGGGGAGGACTGAAGACGTAGGGGGAGGGGAGGGGAGGACAGGGAGGAGAGGAGGGGAGGGGCTGGAGGACGAGTTCAGCCGGCACACAGAGGACGCCGTACGCGCCATCGGTGAGGACGGGAGGACTGGGGACATAGGGGAGAGGGAAGGGGAGGACAGGGAGGAGAGGAGGGGGGCTGGAGGACGAGTTCAGCCGGCACACAGAGGACGCCGTACTGGCCATCGGTGAGGACGGGAGGGGAGGACTGGGGCTAACGACAATAGTGATACTGGGGGATGACAGTTCTAAACGTTATAAATCGGGTAAATACTTCACTGATAAATGTCTAAGAAGCTCACCATCTCGCATTTGACTTCAGTCGTTCTCTAGGTGATGGCTAAATTGCACACGTCATGTTACTCTAGCTCGTGCCATCGGGGACTCAATTGATGAGGCTGACCTGCCCCTACCCCCACCCCTGACCCCTCTGTCCCTCCCCACCCCTGACCCCTCTGTCCCTCCCCACCCCTGACCCCTCTGTCCCTCCCCACCTCTGACCGTTCTGCCCCTCCCCACCTCTGACCCCTCTGTCCCTCCCCACCTCTGACCCCTCTGCCCCGCTCCCCACCTCTGACCGCCCTGTCCCGCTCCTTCGGCAGTGGAGGTGACCAGGAACCTGCCGGCCTATTTCGCCGGCCGGCTGTACGACGCACTGTGGGGCCGCGGGGTGATCTCCAAGGACGACTCGTCTCTGCGGCGGATCATCATCTCGCGGGCCGAGCGGGACCTGGGCTCCATCGCGCAGGAGTACCAGCGCCGCTACGGCAACTCGCTCAAAGACGATATCGAGGTACGGCACACGGTATCACCGGTCACAGACAACACACAATACACAGTGCACCATCACCCTACACCGCACGCACACACAGCACACAGCATACAGCACACAGCACACATACCAAAACTGCACACAGTGCCAGCGCCGCTGCGGGAACTCGCTCAAAGACGATATCGAGGTACGGAGGAGACACGGGGGCAGCCCGAGGGACACTCAGACTCACCCAGTGCATACCACAGCATACACCGTACACCGCTTAACGTACGAACTTCAGCACAATGCACATTGCACAGCTTAGTAAAGTTATTCAAGTTGTGTCGTTTATCCACGTTGATGTGTTAGTTACTTGTTTATATATGCAGCAATTTTATGTAGTCATAAATGAAAAATATGATGACTAGGTATGTGACAATAAGAACCTAAATATATTTTCGTAATTTGGCGACGTTAAGTACTAAAATCTACATAAACATTCCAATGACCTTGCCATGTGATCAGTTTTTCCGCATTTACCTGTGTTATATTCGTTCCGATAGTCTCGGCCTAACTTCCCCATATGTTCGCCAGACGCCAGTGATTTATCTGCTCCTACACTCTGGCCCGTGTCACTGATGTATCCGCTCCTACAATCTGGCCCGTATGATCACCCCGCGATGTTGACGCCAGTGTTTTACCCGCTCCTCCATTCTGGCCCGTATGATCGCCCCGCGATGTAGTGACGCCAGTGTTTTACCCGTTCCAGACCAAGTCCACGTCCGACTATGAAGACGCACTGGTATCGCTGATTGGCGGCTAGCCGTCAACTGTCCACTGCTGATGTGATATACCGGACGGGCCGCCGGACGGGGCCGGTATGTGGACCGGCCGGCGGCCACGGGTGACCCGCGGGGCGCCCCAGACAGAGGCGCCGGAGTCGGAGAGAGGACCCGGGTGTGCTCAGAGGGGAGGGAGCTGTACTGACAGCCGTGAACACTGACTGTATAAAGTGGTATTGTGACAATATACAATTGAGACTGTATGCAGTGTTTGGCTCGCTCAAAGGGGCAATCAAATGGGGATCCCGGAGAAATGCGAATGCATCATCAGACATTAAATGTATATTTTATAAAGGTAGTTTATTTTTAGACGGTGAACTGAGCTTCCTGCGCAATACACGGTGGCCAGCAATCGAGATAATAAAATGGTGCACGCCTTTTTGACATATATGTATGTTAATCAGTCCGAATATCGGTCAACAACGAACACTGTCCAGCATTGTCGAACACCTGAACCACGGTAAAAAGACGGTCACAGCGAATAGGCGGTCACGGCAAATAGGCGGTCACATATTCCGCGGGAAATATAAATAGACGATTACATTAGCACGTTTAATATTAAATGACGGTCACATATCGACACCTTTTTTTAAAACCCCACATTTGTTCTCCCGTGAAGTTCAGACAAGTTGTTTAGAAACCTTCAAAAAAGGTACAGTCACTCGATTTTTCTCAAGTTTGTACCTATATCTTGGCAGATCAAGCAATGCCAGAGCAAGCTTACGAACACACAAATTTGATCAGGATCGGACGATTGGACACTTCTAAAAAGATCTTTCGTGCTTCCCGGAAATTCACCGGAGAACAGATGTGGGGTTTAAAAAAAAAGTCGATATGGCGTGAAGTAGGTGGCCATATGTATCATACGCTACGTAATATAGGCGGTGTCGTATGCATTCACACCTTTGGCGCCTCACTTGATGTAGCGCCTCTACATCGAGCGGTTTACAGTTGTAGTTACAGTAACTCGCCACCAGGCTGTAGCAGCCTTAGACTCATAGGCGGCGGAGCGGGGAGGGCACCGGGGCACCGTGCCCCCTTTGATTTTGGCATTTTAACATTAGCCCTATGGGTGTTGCATGGAAAGAATGGGACCAAAAGTCGGCAGTGCCCCCCCCCCCTTGCTTGAGGGTGTTCCGCCGCTACTGCTTAGACTCGGCGAATTATGGGCTGGAACTTGGAAGCACTAGCGCCTCTACTCTACATCAACATGGAGCATTTGATAGTTGTCTGTTGTAGTTAACAGGTTTTGTCGATACGTTTCACCTGGCATCAATGTCCGCCCGCTTTTTGTATCTCTCTGTCTCTGTCTCTGTCTCTCTCTCTCTCTCTCTCTCTCTCTCTCTCTCTCTCTCTCTCTCTCTCTCTCTCTCTCTCTCTCTCTCTCTCTCTCTCTCTCTCTCTCTCTCTCTCTCTCTCTCTCTCTCTCTCTCTCTCTCTCTCTCTCTCTCTCTCTCTCTCTCTCTCTCTTTTTGTCCCTCTTAAAAACGTCAGGGAGGTGTTATCCGCGTCTGGTAAGGTGCGATGTCACTACCTTGACGGCTGATGTGGGGGCGGTGGCGGGGGCGGTGGGGGGGGGGGGAGAGCGGTGGGATGCACGTGGCGGCCGCCGCCCTCTCACCGGCCGGCGACCATAGAGATGGACAAGTACCGCCTCCTGTCGACGCCGGAACAAGTACCTGAGCATATCACGCATCGGCAGATCGGACGGGTACTGGAATGAGTGGAATGTGAGGGAGTTTGAAGACCGGACCTGCACTGCACGGTAAAAACGTCAGCCGGACTTCACGCGCTACATAGCGTGCATTGACGGTCTGACGAGATCCCAATAGCTTGCTGAATAGGTACTGATAGCGAGGTGCCCGTGAAACAGTCTCCCAGTCTGCAGTCAGCCGGCCTCGATCCCCCTGTGAGCAGTGGGGAGTCGGGAACACCGGCGGGCCCACTTTCAATAGCGACAGCGAGCTGACTCAGTGGGGTGGGTGCTGCTGTGATCCCCTGCCAAACGGCACGGCAAACACTGCGTCATTGGGACTTCCAGCCACTGCCGCGGATGTCTGCCGGTAGCTGCTGGTGTGCAGAACCCGCTGCTGTGCTGGCCGGCTGCTGTGACTCCCATTGCTCTTTCCTAGCCGGCACCTGTAGCTCCCACTGCTCTGTCCCGCCCGGTCGCTGTTGTCCCCCCCCCCCCTCTGCCGGATTGCAGCCATCAGCCACTGTGATGACATCACCCCGCGTGCCGCCGCACCCCTCCCCCTCCCCCTGGCGCCGCGCCGGCCGGCGGGCTGGCACAGCCGGTTTGGCGGTCATAAATGCACCCTCCCCCGTCCCTGGCTCCCGCCCCACCCTTGGCCGCCCACGCCGTCCGTCTCCGCAGTCACGACCCGCCTCTCACAGCTGAGAGAGGCGGACACGGACGAAACGCCACTGAGTGGGAAGGGAACAGACGGGACGGGGCTGGAAACGGACGGGACGGGGCTGCGAACAGGCGGGACCGGGCTGAGAACGGACTGGAGGGGGCTGGAAACGAGGCTGGCTAGGAACGGTAGGTAACTACATGGACGAGACAATAATGAAACAGAAAACGAGCAAACGAAAGAAAACGAGAAAATGGCACTAAATCTATTCTGATAATTCATAAACAATTAGATATGGAGTTCGGAGCGTGTGCAACTGTAAAAAAAAAAAACAAATAATAAGAATATAGGTATTTTGCTGGGTCAAATCACCAAATAGGTACGTTTCAAAATAATCAGGATCCTTATTCATAGTCCATAGAAACAATTAACATGGCTGTAGGTGTTTTTATATTTGTAGGTATTAAAACAACAACAAAAATATAATGAGGAATCATAAAACTACACGCGGTGGATACACGGGAAGATCGTTGATAACACTAACAGTTACGAAAAATCCCTCCCTAACCGCACTGGCTATGGAACTGGTGTGACTCACACCTATTCCATAGCCGGCGGATACAAAGTAACACTCATGAACTTCAATGCAGTGTTTATTTCCAGTGACTCACGTCTCCCCCTCTCCGTCTCCCCATTCCCCACTCCCCACTCCATCTCCCAACTCTCCACTCCATCTCCCCACTCCCCACTCCGTCTCCCCACTCCTCACTCCGTCTCCCCACTCTCTCACTCCGTATCCCCACTCCATCTCCCCACTCCTCACTCCGTCTCCCAACTCCCTACCCCGCCGGCCGGCTGCACGTCCGTCCGTCCGCCCACACTAAGTAGTGCCCGGCGGCCCAGTCTATCTACAGGCGCCCGACACCAGTGACATCTAGTGACGGGAATGTGAGCTACGCAGTCTGGCGGCACAGTCTACCTGCAGGCGCCTAATACTAATGCCATCTAGTGGCAGAAACGCATACTTGGGTAGCATTGCGGTACAGCCTAGCTTCAGGCGCGTATCACTCCTGCCATCTAGTGAGAGAAACGAGTACTTGGAGAGCGTTGCGGCACAGCCTACCTGCAGGCGCGAATGTTACTGCCATCTAATGGGATAAAAGCGCACATGGTATGTGCGTATAGTTGCATCATGTTTACTTCCACATCCACATTGAGGTTCGTCCGAATATCGATAACCTTCTGCGACATTCAGATTCATATTCGTCCCCAATATCGATGACCTTGAATGCACTATATTCGCGTTCAGGTCGATATTCGTAGAATTAAGGCTTTCGCGCTATTTAGAATAGGTACCAAAATGCTTATTACGGTGAGGTGAAACTTTTTCAATCTTTAATTCTGACTTGAACCTTAGTTTTGATTCCGAACTATAGCTTCAAAAGACGGTAGTACCTACCGCATCAGTAGGCCCTTTTCGTCCGATCGTTTCCTAACTGGTAAGTACCTACTTGGGCGGCATAGTCTGTCTACCTATAATGCGTTCCTCGCCTACAGGACCATCGGGGATGGCCATGACCTGTGAATTCTAACTTGACCTTTTGGAGGGTCAAAGAAAAAGTGTAAAAATCTTACCACTGAGAAACTTGTGATTCTGCCACAAAAATATCGGAAAAAACTAAAACTAGAAAGTTTGAATAATGTTAGCCATATAGGCCCGACCAGCGCGGCGGGCCGCCACAAGTACCGGTACTGGGTTCCGGCCGGCGCGCTGCCCAGCTCTAGGCGGCGCGGCGGTGCCGGCCGGCGCCCAGTCGTCCGTCCGTCCGTCCGTCCGTCCGTCGTCCGTAGTCCGTCCGACAGCAGCGCTCCTACTGAAACAGCAGCCATGGTGGTAAGTACAGGTCGGACCGCTGAACGGGCAGCAGATTCCGACCCTCGGGAGTGGAATCTCTCGATTGGGTGATAGTTTGACGGTGTGTTTGGTGTTATTAACTTGTGGGCGTAACCCTTTTGTCCAGGTGTGACCGCTGGCCGGTGTCGGTAGTACCTAGACAGCTCTGCTTATTTACAGAGATGAAAGTCGTGTTATCAATCTCAAAGCAGAAATTATTCACTATAAGTCGCTAAGCACCCAGGACGTATCGAAGGTCACCACGCCGGTACGGCGGGCTGGGCCGGCCGCCGCGCCGGTCCAGGGGGCGCTGGCCGGGCACTCCCTGGAGCCACGCCAGAATCGATCGGCAATTCGGACTCCGCCGCCACGCCCACACCCCCCGTGCCCTGTGGGCGGTGTTAGCGGGGTCGGGCGGTGCGTGCCGCACTCCCCCTGACCCGGCGCCGCCGCCGCCGGGGTCACCAGGGGTCACCAGGGGTCACGGACGGCGCTGTCTCCGGGTGCGGTCGACACCACGCCGCGTTCAGCGAAGGGCCGCGCCGCTGGCGATGGGCAGCCACCGCCCTTGTCCCGGCCTGGGGCGGCGGTCCGCGGCGCGCGGCAGGTATAGGGGTGTCTCGGTCCCACATACCTACCTACCTGCTGCCGACCTGTGAGCGCGTGTGAAAAACACGTCCAGCGTAGGTCCTGCACAGTCATCCGGGCGGGTTTCCAATGCACGCCGTGCTTTCAGCAGCACCTGTTCAGACGGCTCTAACGCACGGGCACGTCGTCAGTGATCCCGTGCTGTGGTATCGTATTTCGGCTCCCTCAGAGGACGGCAAACAGCTCCGTGAGGCACAGATGGGTTGGCACGCCGCTGGGACACAAGTACAGCTAACTTTGGTGGAGCGCCCTGCTGAGCCGCACCGACACTAGCGACAGAGCGTCATACCAATATCATACCAAT